CTGCAGCCATGTACCCCCGCCCCAGCCAGATCCCCCACGCCCCAGCCAAATGCCAACCCTGGGGAGCTTCCCACTTCAATGAGTCAGCTCCCTTTACCCTGTCCCCACTGCCCCCCACCCTTATCCCCCTTATCCAGCTGCTCCACACCCTGCCTGCTCCCTGGGCTCCTAGCCCCAACTATCTGCCTATCCCCCTACCCCCCTCTGCCACCCTAACCTCCTATCTGCCCTCCTCAGGTCAGCCAGTCAGATCTTTCTAAAATGCAAAGATGCAGGCTTTGGGTTTCCTTCCCTGTCTAACCAGCGCTGGTTCCCGGGCTGTCTACATATCATTCCCCAGGCTCTGGATGTCCCTCCTCTCTTCCCTTCTCCTCTCCTTGGGTTCTGAGCTCTAGCCATTTGGGCCTTCTCTCCAATTCAGTTTTGTGTCATTTCTGCCTCATGGTCTTCATGCGCACTACCCCCTCTACCTGGAACCATGTTTTCTGCTCTTTGTCCCTGGCTCCCCAGACCAGCAGAAACCACAGGGTGATGAGCACATGGAGTTGTCAGTTTCCAGTGTGTTTCCTACCTGGCCTGTAGGCAACAGGAGGGCAGGTTGGATCAGTGCTGTTCGCTGCTCCATCTTCAGTGTCTGGCACAGAGCAGATGTCACTGAAGTTTCACGAGTCACATGCACCTGCACTGGGCTTGAAATCAAGAGACCATGGCAGCTAATGTCTATTGTATGCTCACTGTGTCCCGGGCTCTGCTTTTAAGCATATCATATGTATTAGTTCACTTATTTCTCACACAGACTTGGAAATAGGAATGATTACTATCTCCACTCTACAGAATGAGGACACTAAGGCACAGAGAAGTTCAGAGACTTAGACTCACAGCTGCCCAGTGACAGACCCCGATTTGAACCCAGGCCGTGGAGTTCCAATGCTGAACCATGTCTTCCCGTCTAGCCCCAGCTGGGCCAAGGCCTTGCTGTGGGTCCCTGGGCACCAGTGTCTCCACTTCTCTGAGCTGCAGCTTTTCTTTTTTTGTTTTTTAGACGGAGTTTCGCTCTTTTTGCCAAGGCTGGAGTGCAATGGCGTGATCTTGGCTCACTGCAACCTCTGCCTCCCGGGTTCAAGTAATTCTCCTGCCTCAGCCTCCTGAGTAGCTGGGATTACAGGCATGTGCCACCACACCTGGCTAATTTTGTATTTTTTAGTAGAGACGGGGTTTCTCCACGTTGGCCAGGCTGGTCTCGAACTCCAGACCTCTGGTGATCCGCCTGCCTTGGCCTCCCAAAATGCTGGGATTACAGGCGTGAGCCACTGTGTCTGGCTCTGAGCTGCAGCTTTTCTGTGTGTGCAGTGGGGGGTTGGCCACAGTGGTGATCCCTAAGGTCCCTTCCAGCTCTGACAGCCTGGCAGCTCCTCTGATGATCCATCCTTCAGGGAGCCAAGGACTCCCTGTAGAGGTCCTGCAGGGATGCCCAAGAGTCGGGTGGCTGGGAAATAGCTTGCCATGATTTAGGCTGCAGACCTGAGTACCTGGCCAGGGACCCAGTCGTCCCCAGCAGTCTTGTCATCGTGACCCGCCTTCTTCTCGTAGGAACCCAGGCCAGGCCAGGTAAATGAACTGAGCTGAACTGCCAGGTGCTGGGGTTCAGGCAGAGACTGCAGGCTAGAAGTTGAGGAGGCCGAGTACTGCAGTTGGGTTGGGGGACAGTACTTGGGGCAGGGTTGAGCTTGGGTCCCCACACCAAGAGCTTCACAGTCATCTCACAGACCCTTCAGCAACAGTCCTGAGAGCTGTCCATTTTTTAGAAGAGGACATGACAGGGAGGCATGGGGGGGACAGTGACCTGGCCGAGGTCACACAGCAAAGAGTCTAGATTTGACTCTTAACCACTCTGCCCCCAGCCTTGGGCAAAGGTGTTCTGTGTAGATGGGAGAGTAAATAGAGAAGTTCTAGAAGGGGTCAGGTGCAGTGGCTCACACCTGTAATCCCAGCACTGTGGGAGGCCGAGGTGGGCGGATCACCTGAGGTTGGGAGTTCGATACCAGCCTGGCCAACATGGTGAAACCCCGTCTCTACTAAAAATACAAAAATTAGCCAGGCGTGGTGGTATGTGCCTGTAATCCCAGCTACTCGGGCGACTGAAGCAGGAGAATTGCTTGAACCCAGGAGGTGGAGGTTGCCGTGAGCCGAGGTCGCGCCACTGCACTCCAGCCTGGGCTACAGAACAAGACTTCGTTTTGGAAAAAAAAAAAAAAAAAGTTCTGGAAGAAACTCTGGGACATGCATATGGGTCCATGTGTTTATACCCATGAGCATGGGTACTCCCTTGCTCCCCATCCCAGCACCTCTCCTTGCCCACCTCTGTCTCACTGCCTTGTTTATTCGCCTGTGGTCACTGTGGACTCTGCTAGACCCTGAGCCTGTGAGGGCAGCGGCTGTCTTCCTGTTCCCTGCACACCAGCACGTGACTCGAGCACAGGCAGGAGGAAGGTGGATGGAAACACAGGCACAGCCCGTGGCTGTTCCACCGTGTCCAGTCCCTTCCCTCCTCGGGCCTCTGTTTCTCATCTCTGCATATGTGGTAAAGTGCCCCATCCTTAGTCCAGGCTCAGGTGAGCCGCTGGGTTCCTGCTGGGCCATGGGAAGGGTTCTAACACCCAAAGGGCAGGGAGGATGAGGGCAGATGGCTCAGCTGCCCTCCCTCCATCCTGGGGCCTGCCGCCTCCCCTCTGTTTTCTCCTGATTCTGGTCACCCACCAGGAGGGGCTCAATGTTCTGCTCAGCAAGTTCCCTTAACAGGCTGGGCAGCCAGGGGGGTGCTCGGCTGGACTGGAGGAGCCGATGTGAGCCCAGGTCACCCATGGCGGCTCCCCCTGAAGAGAGAACAGACAACCCAGCCACTTGTCAGGAACCCGGACCAAATACCCCACCCCCAAGGCTCGGCACTAAGTGTCCCAGGGGCCTGGAAGGGCAGCAGGATGCTCACTTGGGGGCGGAACACTCACCTGAGGGAGGAACTGCACCTGCTCAGACTTGGGTTACCCACAAACTCAGCCCAGCAGGAGTCTGCTGGCCGCGCTAACAATGTCCACTGTGACGCTGCTGAGATTCTGCAAGGTGCTTTCAGTGTTAGCCCATTTTACAGAGAAGAAAGTTGAGGCTCCAGACAGACATGAGCTTAAGCCTCTGGCCCAGTTCAAGTTACCAACCATTCCAGAGGCCAGGGCCTGGGGCGGGGTATGTGGCACCCTAAAGCCCAGGTGAGGGTGACCTGAGGGTAGAAGTCTGGGCCTGGAGAGGCAATCGAGGGAGTGAGGACGGCTTCTGCCAGAAACAGGGGAGGGGTGTTTGAGACCTTGAAGGAGGTGGGACTGTGACAGTGGTGACTGTGGGAGGGGTCCAGGTCCAAGCAATAACTGGGAGAGACTTGGTGCAGGGCCCTGGGCTGAAATGGAGGAAAATGGAGATGGACTGGTCCCTGCCCTCAATGGGGGGTAAATGCCAAGGCTGGGGGCAGGAGCCCAGAGGAGGGCACCAGGCCAGCCCAGACATGAGCTCTGTGGTGTGCGTGTGTTTACTGTGTGGCCAGAGGACGTGAGGAGTGTGTCGAATGGTCTGTGTGATGTTGTGGTGGGGGGATAAGTGTATCAGCATATGGGGTGTGAGTGTGTGTCTGTGTGTGCATGCATGCACGCGAGAGCATGCACTTTTGTGCCTGTGATGTGTGTCATGCAGTGTGTCCGTGCCTGTGTGGGATGTGGTCCCTGTGATGTGGAGAGTGTATGCTGGTGTGTGTGTGTGTTGTGGGGTGGTGCTAACTGGGACACTCTCCAGGGGAAGAGCCTGGCTCGGATGGAGGTGGAGGAGTTAACCAGGAAAACGGGAGAGGAACCAGCACGTGCAAAGGCCTGGAGGCATGAAGAGGGAGCCTGCAGCACTGGAGGACTTGAAAGTGGTCCAGTGAGGCTGGGGACAGGGAGCAAGAGGCAGGGCCTGGGAGGGACAGGGCAGGCCTTCCTCCACCAGTTTGAGTTCCATTAGCTTGAGGGTGTGTGCAGCCAAGAGGGATGGAGGGGCTGAGAGGAGGCCAAGCCACCACTGACCAGGTGGAGGGGTGGGGGCTGAGCCTGGACCGGGCAGGTGCTGGGTGGAGGTGGGGGAGTGAGAGTCAGAGCTTTTTTTTTGAGACGGAGTCTCGCTCTGTCGCCCAGGCTGGAGTGCAGTGGTCGGATCTCGGCTCACTGCAAGCTCCGCCTCCCGGGTTCACGCCATTCTCCTGCCTCAGCCTCCCGAGTAGCTGGGACTACAGGCGCCTGCCACCTCGCCCGGCTAAGTTTTTGTATTTTTAGTAGAGACGGGGTTTCACTGTGTTAGCCAGGATGGTCTCGATCTCCTGACCTCGTGATCCGCCCGTCTCGGCCTCCCAAAGTGCTGGGATTACAGGCTTGAGCCACCGCGCCCGGCCTAGAGAGCCAGAGCTTTCAACCAAGCCTCTGGGAGGCTGCAGGGCCTGGGATCCCAGACCCAAGCCTGATCCCTGCTCAGCCCAAGAGCTGTAGCTGGAAGGTTCTTAGTTTCCCCTCAGTAAACTGGGGCTCAGGATATTTCTGGAGCACTTGCTCTGTATAACTGGGCAAGGGCTGGGCAGGCATTTCCAGCATGAACACGTCTTCCCAGGCCCACTGGTTGGAGGGCACCGAGGGGTGAGGGTGACCTGAGGGTGAAGTCTGGGCCTGGAGAGGCCATAGAGGGAGTGAGGACAGGCCCTGCCAGAAACAGGGGAGGGGTGTTTGAAACCTTGAAAGGTGGGACCGTGACGGTGGTGACCGTGGAAGGGGTCCAGGTTCGGGTCCCACGGGGGGGGTCAGAGGAAAGGAGCCGGAAGCAGGAGCCAGAATTTGAACCCAGGTGGTCTGACTCCAAGAGGGCCCTCTCACCTGACTTCAACAGTGACCTTAGCGGCTTCAACAGTGACCCCAGTAGTGACAATAGTGACTCACCTGCCCCATGGGCTTGAAACTGCGATGGTTGTGCTCTCCTTTGACCCTGTATCCTGGGGGACTCCACACGGTCATTATATTGTTACTGTGCCTTTTTAGAGATGAGAAAACTGTGGCCAGAAGCAGAGTGGCCTGACCAGGGCTCCAGCCCCCCAGTCCTGCTGCAGACGATGTAGGGCGGTTTTCTCAGCACAGGCTGGAAAGCTCTCTTAGGTAACACGTGGAAGGTAGCGTGTGACCCGGCAGAAAGGAACTGTAATTCCGGGTGGCTGTACGACCTTGGACGTCCTTTTCCCATCTCTGGGCCTCGATTTACCCAACTGTACAATTCGCCCCGTGAGTCTAGGAAGATTCGCTGAGCGTCTGCCAACTGGCAGATGAGGAAACCGAAGTTCAGAGAGTTGAAAGCACAGAGTTGCCTCAGGTCAGGCGGCCGGCACAAGGTGGCGCCGGCTTCGAAGCCGGATTCCGAGGGCGAGCCCTGCCCTCGGCCCCCAGAGGTGTTGTCCTGCCCCCAGGGGGCAGCGGCGCGGGGCCGTTCCAGGCCCTGCCAGCCTGACGTCAGGCCCGGCCGGCGGGGCCTCGCTCTGCACAAACAGACGCCGCAGGCCAGCGTCGGGGCCGGGGGCGGCGATGACTCAGGGCCCCGAGACGGGCCGGGAAGCGGAAAGTTGTGTGCAGATGACATCAGCCGGCCGCGAGGGCGGGAGGGGGCCGGCTCCGGGAAACCGCGGCCTGGCGGGCGGCCCGGCCAGGGATAGGGCGCGGAGGGGCGGCCGCGGGGCGGGGGCGGGAACACCGGGACGGGGCGCTAGGAACCACGAAAAATGTCCCCCCTCCCGCCCGCCCCGGACCCAGGCCCCGGAGCCCGGACCCGCTTTTCGCCGGCGAGGAGCCGGCTCCACCCGCCTGCAAAGACGCCGCGCTCCCCCGCGCTCCGGAGGCAGCCGCATCCATCCTGCTGCGTGCCTGCATTTTAATTACCGCCGCATTAATATTCATGAGCCAGGACTCGAGGGGGACCGCGGGCTGTCATTTCTCTCGCCCGCCCTCCCCCCACCGCACCCCTCTTCCTGGGCTGAGTCTTGGGCTTTTTTCTTCCCGTTCCCAACCCCGCTCGCACCAACCATTGGTGCTCAGCAGATTTCGGGGAGCGGGGTGGTGTGTGAGCATGAGTGTGAGCGAGTGTGAGTGGGGAGGGCGCAGGGTGGGGCCGAGTGTGAGTCTGTGCCTACTGTGTGCCTGTGCGTACGTGCCTATGCGTGCCTGTGTGTCTGTCGGCAGTCCCAGGGCCGTGTGTGCACGTCTCTGATGTCTCTGTGGGGCTTGGAGAAGGGCCAAAGCCTGTCCAAGTTAGCAGGGCCTGACTGTACAAATGGGGAAACTAAGGCCTGGAGAGAGGCTGGGCCTTGTCCAAAGCCACCCCATAGGTCAGCAGCACAGGGGAGCGGGAGACCAGGGTCCTGCGTTTGGCAGGCTCTGCTCCCCGCTCTCTGCTCCCCGCTCTCCCGTGCTGTTGTTTGTAACAATGGCAGACAGGATGTGCTGAGCGGGCACCTCTTATGTGTCCTTCCCAGCAAACCTGTGCAGCACGTGGTCCTATCCGTGCCCCGTGCAGATGGGGAAACTGAGGCAACTGGTCCAGCCAATGAGGGGTGAACTGGAGCCCAGAAGTGTCTGAATCCTAAGTCCCTGGGTTTAACAGCCCCACTGTGGTGCCTCCTGGGGAATTGTGGAGTGTCCTCACTGGGGTGATCTGGGGGTACCTGGAAGCTTCTGGGTGCCCGGGCATCAGCGGGGATGTTTCCCCAGAACAGTCCACCTTCTGTTTCCCTCCCAAGTGAGTCATCGGATAGGGCTGCCTTCTTGTGGCTTTCCCAGTCCCCCTCCGTCCCCTCCCCATCCCTGAAGCCTCCCAGGAGCCACCCTGCACACCACACCTTGCTCCCTGGGCCTGAGGTCAGGCAATCATTCATTCATTCATCCAACAAATCCTTCAGTGCCAGTCACTGTGCTAGGCACTGGGGATTCTCTGCTTCCCACTCTGGTCATCTCTACCTGGCCTAGGCGCCTCCAGGCCCACAAGGGGGCTGTTCACCTCTGTGTGTGAATGCTCACTAGGGGTGGGGGACTAGGGGCACCTGTGCACAAAAGACAGCTCTCACCCAGCCTTGCCGCAGAGGTCTGGGGTGCCCACATTCGGTGGCCAGAAAAGGGCTGCGATCATCTTAGGGTTGACGGGGCGGTGGCCACACTAGGCAGCCTGAATCTTTGCTTCTCTCTCCTGCAACTTGTCCTTCTCTGGCCGCCAATCTAAATAACCCCAGAGGCTGGTCAGCCTGCCTTGCCCTGGGTTGAGCCACGGCCAACCTCCCTCTCACGTCCAGCCGAGAATAGGCGGACTGTTCCCTCGTCTCTGCCCACACAGGGCTGGGCTGGAAGTCGTATCCCAGCCATGTCCCCTGAGCCTTTTCTCCCCTCCCTTTGGGAGCTCCACAGGAACACAGACAAGAGGACAGGGGTGCAGCCAGAGGACTTGGGAGAGGAAGCAATAATTTATTTACCTTCACCGGTTAAATAGGAGTTTGCCTAGGAGAGGGGGCCCAAGGACGGGGGACTAGCTCAGAGGCGCGCCCACCTGCAGCCCCCATTCTATAACAGGAACCAGAGCAGGCCAAAGGCAAGAGACCTGGGGAGACTGGGAGGACAGATTTTCTCCTAAAGGGCCTGAGGCAGTACGGCCTAGTGGTCCGGTCCGCACCCCTGGGTGGGTCCATCCTGGGTGAGAATCCCCCTCCCTCCTCACTGTGAGGGCCTCTATTTCCTGATCTGCAAAACTGGGAAAATAACTTTTTTTTTTTCAGGTTTATATTCAGATCAAGAGACACTGCCCATACAGCACCTAGCACGGTGGCTGGGGCTCTTTCATAGGGTGATCTGTCCTCAAGGACATAGGGAGGCCTCTGGAATCACTGTCCCCATTTGGCCCAGAATGGGATTTAAGGATCAGTCTGTGTCCCACAGTCTAACCCATGGGGAGGAGTTTGGTAGGGACAAACTGCTGGGAGGAGGAGGAACAGCCTGAAACTGTCATGGGTCAGGCAAGGCTCAGGCTCTAGGTAAGAGAGGGATCTCAGAGGCCCCACGGCCCTGCCTGCTGGGCTCCGTGTAGACCTGCCAGATGGCCCATCACCCAAACAGCCAGAGCCGCAGTGAGAGGGGCAGCCTGGCCCGCCAGCTCCTGGCTCCCTTCTGCTGCCTGTGTCTCTTTGCTTCCTGGCTCCCCTCTGTCTTTTGAAAATGTCCTCGCTTCTTTTGTTAGAATAGTCATACCTGTACATGGCAAACACACATACACACACACACACACACACAACCATTTTTTTTTTAAAAGGAAGCACTGTAAAAGTTCATGCAATACATCCTGACGCTGTCATTCCAGGTTTCGTGTACATTTCCAGGATATTTCTCTCCCTACAGAGCTGTCTTTGTAAAACTTCCATAGGATGACATCCACCTCTGCTCAAAGGCCTTCAATGGCTCCCCGTTTTTATAAAGCAAGGTAGCTTCCTCCAGACTTCGCAGCCTGGCCCAGGTTTGGCAACACCATTCTCCTTCCTCTCCCCATTACCCTCCCTGACGCTGGGCTGCGGGGCCTTCCTCAGAGCGTGGCCTCCTCTCCTGCCACATGCCTTTGGCTTTGCTGTGCAGACCTCTGGGAATGGCCCGGTGCCTTCCACTGAGATTTCTCAAGACCAGCCTTTGCTGTCCCCCAGCCTCCGTGCCTCCTCCCCCAGATCTCTTCCCTCCCCATCCCTTACACCAAAACCCACCCCTGTCTCTCCCAGGGCCCTCAGGACTGGTGGATGCCTCTAGGGTGCTGCTTTTCACATCTAACTGTCGGGAGCGCCTCCTCCAATCTTGGGTCCCCACTCAGCTATGAGCATCTCAAAGGCTGGGGTCCTGGCATCTTTATTTTTGTTGCCACCTAACTTGATGCCCTGCACGTAGTAGGCACTTTAAAATATTAAAAAAAATTAAAGTTGCCCTTCCGTCCCTCCCTCCTTCCTTCATTTTTTTTTTTTTTTTCAGAGTCTTATTCTGTTGCCCAGGCTGTATGGAGTGCAGGGGCGCAATCATGGTTCACTGCAGCCTCGACCACCCTAGACTCAGGTGATCCTCCCACCTCAGCCTCCTGAGTAGCTGGGACTACACGTGCGCTCCACCAGGCCTGGTGGAGCATTTTCATATTTTTGTAGAGATGAGGTTTTGCCACGTTGTCCAGGCTGATCTCAAACTCCTGGGCTCAAGTAAGCCTCCAGCCTCAGCCTACCAAAGTGCTGGGATTACAGGCATGAGCCACTACACCCTGCCTACTTTTTCTTTAGAGATTCAGACTCTAAGCCAGCAAATGAGGGTTGAATCGTGACTCTATCATTTCCTAGCTGTGTGTCCTTGAGAAAGTGAATCAACCTCTCTGAGCCTCAGTTACCTCATCTGGAAAAGAAAGTTAATAATAAAATCTCCCTTCATGAGTAACAGTGGTAACAGTGCATGTAAAACATCTAGCACTAGCCCGGGGCAGAGAGTAGCCAGCAAGCTCTGATGTTACTCAGTTTTGTCTTACTCAGTCTCATTCAGACTTATCCAAAGTCACCTGTCCAGTTTGGGGCAATGCTGGGACGCTCCCACTGTCTCTTCCCCCTTCAATGCTACTTCCCTGTAGCGGGCGAGGGTTCCAGGCCATTGTCTCTGTTTTGCAGAGAAGGAGAACCAGGTTCAGAGAGGTTGAGTTGCTCACCTAGGGTCACACGGCCCTGAGAACAAAGCAAGGGTCTGTTTGTTTGCTAAGTTCCCGGTGAGTTCTTTAGGTTGCTCAGGATAGGGAAAACCTCAGTGAGACCCACCATCCTTGCGGAGGGGCTCGTACTCCTGTGGCCAAGACCTGGCAAGGTGGGTTCCTCAGGGGCCAGGGAGTCGCCACAAGTGCTCTAAGTGGGACATCACTAAGACAAACAGCCTGCATTTCCTGGGTGCTTTCCCCAGGCAGGGAGCTGTGTTAAGTGTTCATGGGCACAGCCTCCTTCCATCCTCACAGCAACCCTGCTATCCTGCATTCCAAGGGTGGGTGCTCACTGAGATCCCGGGTAGGGGCTAAAGGAGGCGTGGGGCCAGCACCTGAACCCTGATCTCGCTCCTACCCTGAGCCTCTGTGGACGACCGAGGACAATGGGCTTTAGCCTGTGCTGTATCAGCGCTGGGACTCAGCAGGAGACCAGGCTCCACCCCCAACGCCCCCAACCCAAGTTGGGGGTGCTGCTTGGGTCTCATAGAACATCTGGGGGTCCCCCCCCAGCCCTGGCCCCACAGAGCCGACCCAGCTGCGTCTCTGAGCCGCACCCAAAATCTTCCCAGCTTTGCCAGGGAGACTGGAAATTTCTGCTCAGCAGCTTCGTCTGGGATGATTTCGACACTTGGCTCGGTGGGGTCGAGAGGAGGAGCCAGGCCACTCACTCGCTCAACATTCTGGAACTTCCCTTGGGTCACCGGGAGTGGGGGTTTGCTAGGCCTAGGTGAGCCCCTCCGAAATGATAAAATCAAACAACAGTGACGAAGTACCGAGCGCTTACCATGTGCTGGGCCCTGTGCCAAGTCAGGACTTGCTGGGCCTCACGGAACCTTCCGGCGCCCGGGCAAGGCCAGCACTGTTACTAACCGTCTCGCAGACTGCTCCTGACTGGGGTCTCTGTTACCATCCAGGAGTCTCCTCCTCG